GCATGTGGAGTAGGAAATTCAGAATAGAATATCCGGACAAATTGTGGGAATAATAGTCTCAGGCCTACCAGAAGGGAGTGCTTTCAGGCCAGAAACTGCTCTAGTAGCATATACGCGGTATGAAAACTAGCGAAAGCTGCTTCCCGACGCGTAGGCTCCCGTAGACTGGAACAGTATTCGGTGACTTTCAGCTTTCTTGCTACTGCAACAGCCTGCATTCGAGAGTGCTGGGTATAGCGGGAGAGAAAGCGAGCCAGAGCGGCAGCTACAAAACTCGTGTGGAGTCTAGCAGCGAAAAAGCATAGCTTTGACGTACCTGTAACGTTGAGCTCTCGATAAATGACCATGGCTTCTGCACAACCGCCCAGCTTGACAAAATTAAAGCGCTTTATTGCAGCTGTCTCTCTCCCGATCGATTGCGCTCTCTCCGTACACTCGAGGGTGTGCGTTAAAAAGAGGGCGTTTTGAAAGCTTTTGCGCAATCTCATTGGTCAGAGCCTTACCGCCGGAAGTCATCATACAAACACGTTATACGAAGGCATTGGCTTGTGGTCTACTGATTGCACACTCGTGGCTTCAGTTTTGATAGACCACTCGACCTACTCCCTCGTGCCCTATCATAACTGGCCACTAGTGTACAACCAGTAGACCACGCGCCGCCATCGTATATATAACCTATACGTATAATAATTATACATGATATGTTGCTCATCCCCTGTTTTAAAAGACACAAACCGAAGTATATACAGGTAGGTGGGTTGTTGTGTTGTTCTCGTTATTAGGTGAAGATCTGTATACGATTGTTCCCATTATCACTGACATACAGTGTTCCTTTCTTGTCTACTGCTAGTCCAAATGGACAATGAAACTCCGCAGGACCTTTTCCCTTTCTTCCAAATGACTTGATAAACTCTCCATCAGTAGAGAATATTGATATACGATTATTCCCCAGTTCACTAACATACACTACATTGCCAGAGTCAATAGCAATACTGACTGAATTGGTTAGTTCTCCCTCTCCTTCTCCCTTCTTCCCAAACTGCCTCAAGTAGACTCCATCGACTGTGAAGACCTGGATTCTGTGGTTGTACTGATCAGCTACATACACATTGCCATCTCTGTCTGTAGCTACATCATAAGGATAGTCAAACTCTCCATTGTTAGCGCCCTTCCCACCAAAACTACTGAAGTATGAGAGGTCAAAGTTCAGAACCTGAATGCTGTGGTTGATCCAGTCAGCAACATACACCTTGCCAGTGTGAGGATGAACTGTAATGCCTACTGGATACTGGAACTGAAGAAGTCCACTGCCCCGGGTACCGACTGTTCTGAGGTGTTTGCCAGTGGACGACCACTGCTGAATACGATGGTTCCCACAGTCAGCTACAAGAATGTTTCCTCCATTGTCTATTGCTATACCTCTAGGATGGTCAAACTCACCAGGACCTGAGCCACAAGTACCAAATGATTTCTTCTCTCCATTTCCACTGATGATTGATATGCAGTGACTATCCTGTTCCACTACTACAACCTCACCTCCCTGCCTCACAGCTATACCATATGGTGCATTGAGGTCTCCAATGATGTTGGCTGGGGCACTGAAGTTGGGTAGAACGGTGACAGTGAACGGACTGTTCAAGATCGGGTGCACTTCTATTAGAATGTGTAGTTGATGTTCTCCAGTGACCTGAGGCTGGTGGCTGATGTCGTAGATGTTCTGATTTCTTCTCTTCACAGTGCCCCTGACTCGACTGCTGCCATCGCTAGCAACTAGCTCACACCTCAAGCTGTCTACAGGTTTGAAGCAGGCTTCTCCCTTCCTATCTAAAGCCTCTACAGAGACAGCCACTGTTTGCCCTCTCGTGGCTACCTTGATGCCTTCACCTGAGGCTCGACACTTCTCAGGGTACACTGGATGACAGTACACCTTTCCAAACTGCTGGCAAGATGTCACAAGCTCAGGCAGACTGTGAGCAAACACCATGTCGGCTTGCTCGGCAAGAGCCAATGTCTCTGGCCTGAAACTGCCTATCAGGTCGATGACTTGTTTCACAAGAGGATTCTTCATCCTCAGAATCTCCCCCTGGCTGCAAGTACGTCGGCTCTCCTCCACAAAGTCCTGGCAGCTCCTCAGCTGGCCCAGTTGCAGTTCAAACCCGCCTCGCTGTGCTGCCAAGGTCTTTAGTTTCTGCTGTGCCGTCTGCTCAGCTTGACCCACCAGCTCTGTCTCCCTCGCCTCTAGAGCTTGTCGCAGGTGTGCCATGGCAGTCCGGATCTCTGCCACCACAGCCGTCTTCTGTTCTACGACTGCAGCACTTTGAGTGTTCACAGACTCAACGGCTCTTTCTAACGTAGCAATCTGTTCTTCCACTGGCTTCAGAGAGTCAACGATCACTTTCTCTTGCCTGGCAAATGACTCGGGCACCAGATCGTACTGGTGGTCCGATTCCAGCACCGTATGCGGCCACGCTTGGTATCAAAATGTAGTGCTTCACACTTCGGTTCGTTGCAAAGCAAAATTTCCACAGATTGGTAGTTCTTGAACACATTTTTGCAGTATTACTTGCAAAGATTAAGGATTAAAGTACGTTCGCGCTGTTAGAAACCAGAGACCTCTTGGATTGTAGTGTTCCGAGAGCAGTGAGGACGCTATGTGAAGGGCCCGAGGGCTTCTAACACACGTAGATTTCAACTGATGAGTGCCTAACTTACACACTCCGATTAATACTTTGTATGTGGTTTGTATTATTATAGTGGCGTGGATAGGGTTAAAGTAGGTAGCCCATAACCTAAAGAGTCCATTTGACTTCACCTGAGCCTTCAAAAAATCGTCATATATAACCGTTTTATTTTACATCATTGGAATCCTCGCACCTTTACAGTTCTGATGGTATCCTTCACTAACCATAGAACCTTATTACTCAAAAGTTAGCTGTATGTCCCATAGTGAAAAGTATGTCATAAGTAAAGTACTTGGTGCCTGTATAAACTGTTTACACAACCACTTCCGGGGCTCTTGTGAATGTGAATAGACTTTAGTACATACATCATATGCACTATACATACGTTGCTCGTCCCCTGTTTTATTAACCATCGTTTTATTTTGTTCAAAATTAATTAATACAAAATACACAAACAGAAGTACAGGTGGGTTGTTGTGTTATTAGGTGAAGATCTGTATACGATGGTTCACATGATCACTGACATACAGTGTTCCTTTCTTGTCTACTACTAGTCCAAATGGACCACTGAACTCCGCAGGACCTTTTCCCGCTCTTCCAAATGACTTGATAAACTCTCCATCAGTAGAGAATATTGATATACGATTATTCCCCAGTTCACTAACATACACTACATTGCCAGAGTCAATAGCAATACTGACTGGCTGGTTTAGTTCTCCCTCTCCTTCTCCCTTCTTCCCAAACTGCCTCAAGTAGACTCCATCGACTGTGAAGACCTGGATTCTGTGGTTGTCCTTATCAGCTACATACACATTGCCATCTCTGTCTGTAGCTACATCGTAAGGCCAGTTGAACTCTCCATTGTTAGAGCCCTTCCTACCGAAACTACTGAAGTATGAGAGGTCCAAGTTCAGAACCTGAATTCTGTGGTTGATCCAGTCAGCAACATACACCTTGCCAGTGTGAGGTTGAACTGTAATGCCTACTGGATACTGGAACTGAAGAGGTCCACTGCCCCGGGTACCGACTGTTCTGAGGTGTTGGCCAGTGGATGAAAACTGCTGAATACGATGGTTGTCATAGTCAGCCACAAGAATGTTTCCTCCATTGTCTATTGCTATACCTTCAGGACGGTCGAACTGACGAGGACCTGAGCCAAAAGTACCAAATGATTTCTTCTCTCCATTTCCACTGATGATTGATATGCAGTGACTAGTTCGTTCTGCTACTACAACCTCACCTCCCTCCCTGACAGCTATACCCCATGGCCCCTTGAGGTCTCCAATGGTGTTGGCTGGGGCAGTGAAGTTGGGTAGAACGGTGACAGTGAACGGACTGTTCAAGATCGGGTGCTCTTCTATTAGAATGTGTAGTTGATGTTCCCCAGCGACCAGAGGGTGGTAGCTGATGTCGTAGATGTTCTGATTTCTTCTCTTCACAGTGCCCCTGACTCGACTGCTGCCATCGCTAGCAACTAGCTCACACCTAGTCAAGCTGTCTACAGGTTTGAAGCAGGCTTCTGCCTTCCTATCTAAAGCCTCTACAGAGACAGCCACTGTTTGCCCTCTCGTGGCTACCTTGATGGCTTCACCTGAGGCTCGACACTTCTCGGGGTACACTGGATGACAGTACACCTTACCAAACTGGTGGCAAGATGTCACAAGCTCAGGCAGACTGTGAGCAAACACCATGTCAGCTTGCTCGGCAAGGGCCAATGTCTCTGGCTTGAAGCTGCCTGTCAGGTCGTTGACTTGTTTCACGAGAGGACTCTTCATCCTCAGAATCTCCCCTGCTGCACGACGTCGGCTCTCCTCCACAACTCCTGGCAGCTCCTCAGCTGGCCCAGTTCAGTTCAAACCCGTCTCGCTGTGCTGCCAAGGTCTTCAGTTTCTGCTGTGCCGTCTGCTCAGCTTGACCCACCAGCTCTGTCTCCCTCGCCTCTAGAGCTTGTCGCAGGTGTGCCATGGCAGTCCGGATCTCTGCCACCACAGCCGTCTTCTGTTCTACGACTGCAGCATACTGAGTGTCAACCGACTCAACGGCTCTTTCTAACGTAGCAATCTGTTCTTCCACTGGCTTGATAGTGTCCACGATCACTTTCTCTTGCTTGGCAAACGACTCGGGCACCAGATCGTAATGGTGGTCGCGATGAACACGAACGATGCAGTCTCGACATATCAACTCGTCGCATGTCTCGCAGTAGAGGTCTGCTTCCTTTGACGGATGAGTGGCACAAAAGAGAGTCTTCTTGAGAGGAGGAACGAGGGTGGTGACATCTCCAGTCAAGGTGTCTTGGTCGATAAATTCGTGGGTTTTCAATTCATCCCAATCCTGATGGATTTCCTTGCAGCGCTGGCATGCAAACCCACAAGTACGACAAAAGCCAACTGCCTCACGTTTTGTGCACTTTTTGCACATTGTTTGTTCGCTGGAGCTCACTTTCTTTAGGGCATCTTGGATGTCAAAGAGGTAGTGGATGTAGAAGGCTCCTTGGAGCCCCGGGACTCCACCCACTGGCAGTGGAGTGTCCTGGCGACATTGTGGACATGGGACACTCTGTCCCTCTCGTCCCCCACGTACCAGACGTTGCAGGCACTGCTCGCAATACACATGGAAGCACTTGAGCAGCCTCGGCTGTTTGTAGGGCTCCAGACATATCCCACAGGTGACCTGGTCCTGGATCTTCTGGAGAGCTTTCTCGGCAGCAGTGGAGGGTTTGGCAGCCATGTCTCTCTGTAGTGCAGCAGACAAGTTAGAGAGAGGGTCTTTATTATTATTATTATTATTATATGCTTTACAACACAGTTATTACAAGGACGATGTAAAGAAAGTGGAAATGAGAATAATTATAAAGACTGTGTTGAGGGACTGCAGGCAAAGAGCCAGCATCCGAGAAAACATAACCAACACACAAATACATACATTAGTGTATTATAATGAATTACTGCTAAAGTGCATGTTGACAGGTAGTGAAGAGCATTTGTAACACAGACATAAATAGTGATAGGAGCATTCGTCATTGGGATTGAAATGGGAGATGAAATGGTCCCAGAAGTAATTGTGAAGTTTGGATTTGATTGAAGAGAGATGAAGACTAATATCCAGAGGAGGGAGAGAGTTCCATAATCGAGGCATGCGATTGAAGTAAAATATTTTTTCGTTATAGTTTCTGGAAACTGTGTGTTTAAGCTTAAAATTGGAGCTTGAGCGAGTATGATGAGCACTGAACTGCACAAAATCGAAAATGTTGAAGTGGTCCGATGGATACCTCACAGACTTGATGAAAAATATTATGTCAGCAATTTCTAGTTCCATCATCAAAGGTAACAGTTTAAGATGAATTAAACGATTTCGATAGTCCATAGAAGTATCATTCACTATGAACTTTGTCGCCCTTCTCTGAAGTAGCTCAAGACATTTCACATCAGCCAATAAGTAAGGATGCCACACAGGAGAACAATAGAGCAGCTGAGATCTTACAAGTGAAATGTACAGGGACCGCTTGGCAGACTCCGCCATAGAATTCGTGGGTTTTCAATTCATCCCAATCCTGATGGATTTCCTTGCAGCGCTGGCATGCAAACCCACAAGTACGACAAAAGCCAACTGCCTCACGTTTTGTGCACTTTTTGCACATTGTTTGTTCGCTGGAGCTCACTTTCTTGAGGGCATCTTGGATGTCGAAGAGGTAGTGGATGTAGAAGGCTCCTTGGAGCCCCGGGACTCCACCCACTGGCAGTGGAGTGTCCTGGCGACATTGTGGACATGGGAGACTCTGTCCCTCTCGTCCCCCACGTACCAGACGTTGCAGGCACTGCTCGCAATACACGTGGAAGCACTTGAGCAGCCTCGGCTGTTTGTAGGGCTCCAGACATATCCCACAGGTGACCTGGTCCTGGATCTTCTGGAGAGCTTTCTCGGCAGCAGTGGAGGGTTTGGCAGCCATGGCTCTGTCAGTAGTGCAGCAGACAAGCTAGAGAGAGGGTCTAGTGAAGACTGAGGCAAGCAAGCTGCTCAAGCAAAGAAGCAAGCAAAGGCGGTGGGCTAACTCCAAGAAATGGGTGAAACTGAGGCTGACAGGAAACAGCCCTTGACTTTTCTGTCACTCTACCAATATTCACAGTCTAGATCTGGTTCATGCCTCACCTTATTTGGAGATTCTAGTGAGATCATGAATACTGAAACAGGTGGTCTGATTGTAGGACTGACCAATCACATTACTACCCAGGGTACTGATCAAATGCATGTGTCAACAAGTGAACTACATGCCTAGGATAGATCTGTCCTCAATCTACTGACAATCTGCAGTATACGTGACACTCTGCAGTCTAGGCTGAGCGCTCTACCAACTGAGCTACCAGGGCAACTGGGATGGTAGGGGTACGAATCTACAACACAACACAACACAAAGGCAAACCTCAAATCACTGTGCTATGGCACATTATACTACATATCACACACACACTGCCAATTGATGGGCTGGGCAATCAATCCAATTTTTTTACTGCATTCACATGCATTGTGTGCGAGGCATAACGCCCAAGCATTAGTGGCCTTTTGTGTCAGCCTGTTTGTCGACTGACCAATCAAAGTTGCATGTGTCAACAAGTGAGCTACATGCCTAGGATAGATCTGTCCTCAATCTACTGACAATCTGCGGTATACGTGACACTGCAGTCTAGCGAGCGCTCTACCAACTGAGCTACCAGGGCAACTCAGATGGTAGGGGTACGAATCTACAACACAACACAACACAACACATCTCAAACCTCAAACAATGTGCTATGGCACAGTACACTATCACACACACTGCAATTGATGGGCTGGGCAATCAATTGTTTACTGCATTCACATGCATGGTGTGCAAGGCATAATGCCCAAGCATTAGTGGCCTTTTGTGTCAGCCTGTTTGTCGTGGTTTACATTCTTCTTTCACCGTAATACATAAGTGTACCAAGTTTCATTGTTGAGGACCCAGCATAAGCAAGTATTAGGTTACTTGATGTACTAGTATCACCAGCATAAGAATGTTAACTTGCTCTCATCTTGCCTGTAAGCATCTGATGTGTCAATGGAAAGCATGTGCAATTCAGTTTAGATTTAACAAGTAAACTAAAAAAAGTGGTGAATATAGAGATGGTAAAAAGCAAGGAGACAAGACAGGGATGACCTAGTGTATGTGATGCAGTAGTACAATGGATAATAGCTCCATACTTCAAACTGACATCGCTTGCTCGTGGAACAAACACAGGACAGCACAGCTCTTTCTTTTCCAAGGAAAAAGAAGAGCTGCACTCTGCAGTCTAGGCGAGGGTTCTATATACCAACTACCAGGGCAACCCAGCTGGTAGGGGTTCAAACAACGCAAAGACAAACCTCAAACCACTGTGCTATGGCACAGTATACTCTCATACACTGGAATACAAACTTTGCCTATCGCCTGCGGACGTGTCTGCTAATGCCAGCAGAATGGTGGGGTTCTGTATAATTATACCATTGCCAAGATTCGATAGTACATTACGCACCGCAGTGCCTACCGTAGCTTTGTGAACAGACCTTTACACAGTGGGTTGATAATGTATGGAGAGAAAGAGAAAGAACCAACTTCTGTAAAACTAACTTGATGTCCACTACTAGCACTGAGCATAGCTGGTGTTTCGGATTCCATCAAGTACTACTGTATTGCTAGCTGTTTTCACCAACTGACAACCTCCCACTGTCTCTACATATAGATATACATCCTATGTGCACACTTCTTTGTCTGCAGTGTTGGTTGGCCGATCCCACCCCAGGTGGTTAGCTAGTGTGTGTCCCCATTCCATTCTGCAGGAGAGTCAATTCCCATTCGTCTGTTCCTGAGTGGGTACGACCTCACGCCCACCATGCGGGACGTCAACAAGAAATTCTCTGTTCGTTACTATGTCAACCTGGTTCTGGTGGACGAGGAGGAGAGGAGGTATTTCAAGCAACAGGTGACCTCTTCTTTCTCTCTTCTTTCTTTCTTCTTTCGGGGTTTCCTCTGTCTCTTTGCTCACTTATCATAATTATACAGTTGTTGCATCATGTACATACAGTGGAACTGACACAAAATGGCACAAAAGAGGTGTCCATTTAGCATGGCGTCCTAATTTCAGGGGTCGAGTTTCATTCGAGAACTGCAGTGGGGGAAAGAGAGGGGTGTCCTTGAGAGGTGTCCACATCCCAGGGGTGTCCTTGAGAGGTGTCCACGGTGTCCACATCCCAGGGGTGTCCTTGAGAGGTGTCCACATCCCAGGGGTGTCCTTGAGAGGTGGCCACATCCCAGGGGTGTCCTTGAGAGGTGTCCACATCCCAGGGGTGTCCTTGAGAGGTGTCCACATCCCAGGGGTGTCCTTAGAGGGGGTTCCTATATATACACTGTGTGTACCTTTGAGGCAGTTTGTTTGAATTGAGCAGTGCCTACGTTGATGCAATTAACTAGCAATACAAAAGGGTTTGTTCTCGTTTCCCCACTTATTTGTCTCCTAGGTTTATAGCTTATGGTTCAGTACTTCCATCCTCTTCCTCTCCTCCCCTGTTCTCACTCCCCCCTCTCTCTCCCCAGGAGATAGTCCTGTGGAGAAAAGCTGACCCAAAAGCAGCCAGAAAGTCAGTCAAGAAATAGTCTGTACAAATGAACAATAGGCACACTATTTACACTTATATACACTACCTGCACTCTATAGCAATAGGTATATACTACTTTTTTTAGTTGGTCTTGCTGTGTGAATGTGATGTGTGTGTGTGTAAATGTACTGTTTGTGAATGAGTGATTGGTTCATGTAACATTGACTGGTGTGGAGGTTTTGGCTATACTTTGAGGTTATTTTGGCCTTTTCTACACAAAACTAGTACCTTTCGTCTATAAATCTCACTCCATTATTCCCCTATCTCGCTCTAACATTTCCTCTTTTTCACCCATCTGGCTCTCTACCTTCGTTGTGTCCCCCTTGTCTTGCTCCAAAATTCCGTATTTCCCTCTTGTCTTGCTCTGTGCTTTCGTCTTTTCCCCCTATCTCGAGCTCATTGAAGAATTTCTTCTCTTCCCCTGATTTCACTCCCAATCTCACCTTGTACTGGTGATAAAGTCGGACTAAACACCATGTTGTCTGCCTGCTTACACACTGTCTTAGTTTTGTGTACATGCATGCTGGCAATGTTCCAGTAGAATACACATGAGTAGGTATAGTGTGTCACTAGGGCAAGCATGCATTGCCCATCAAGTAAAGATTACTCCAGTACACTGCAGTGGCATGTTGAGATAGAAGCTGCCATCCTACTACTACTGGAGCACCAGTGTGATGATGTAATTGTTATCTTCCCAGGTCCCCTGAATCTGAGCAGAACCTGGAGCCACCAGATCAGGATAGAGTTTGTGGGTCATTAGACTCACTTCGACGCAGGAAACCACCACGACTTCCTGTCTCTGGTGAGGCAGCTCTCTCCTCCGGTTGGAACTGACTCAGTCCGCTGTGTTTGATTTCGAGTTTCAATCACGTCGAGATAACCCTACGAGTCGTACACTACGGGACGCAATGGTCAAGTTGAGGTGAGACTTGTCTGGCGGGGTAGGGAGGTGTGAGTGAGGAATGAGGAGGGGTGAGGAGGGTGGAGAGGTGGACGCGAGATAGGGGAGGTGAGAAGGGAGTGGGGAATGAAGAGTGATGAGAGAGGTGGGAGTGGGAGAGAGATTTGTTTGTAGATTTTTGTGAGTGCTGATTTTATCTAGGCATGCGTTCCTCCTCCTCCTCTGTCGCACCCCTGCTCTCCCTCATCCCTCTGCTCACATTAGTCATCACAATCTTTAACACAACTCTCCTGAGATTGAGTATGTAAGTGATGTAATGACGATGTATTATGGTCCCACTTAGGTATTTCCTGCGGGTGGTGGTGGTGGCGAGGAGACCGCTCGTTACTGACGAGGAGCTGGACCTGGCCGTCCACGCGCCTCTCTCTCCTTCCCAGAGATGGTCAACTCTCTCAAGATGGAGGTGGGCAATTCCGCGGACTGTCTGCACATTGAGTTTGAATACCTACTTAAGTCCAAGTGAGCGTCACTCACTGACTATTCTCCACGCTCTGTTGGAGTCTCATATCTGTGGGATAGGACATTGTTTTTTGGGCAACTACGCACTTTGCAATCAGTCTCAGAGTAATATCAGTTTTTTGGAGAAAATCACTGCGTTTTCTGCTGTATTGTATTTAATGGTCTACATAACAATACAGACAGACATGCAACTTTTGCAGTGAATCTTCAAACCATATGAAAGCTGTTTTTCACTAAATAAAAACCTTACTTTGGCCTTCGAGGTGGTTGTGGTGGTTTTAGGTGGCGAGACTGTGTTTTGCTTATATCTTTTCATCTACTGTTGAGATACGTAAATGCCTGTTAAGTCTAACATGTTGCCAGTTACATATATCCAAAATGTGTTGTGACAATTACTTGGGTCGTAGCAGGTGGTTTTGTGAATATATCGCGCCTTGGCATATTTGGAAGTCCTAGAGAGATAGACTCACTACTATATAGTCCTACATAAACTCACTCTGAGTCTTCTTTCACACACAATCATGAAACAGACCTCACTGCTTTTGAGAATAAAAGGCAAACCTCGGCGACTCGCGCATGCGCAAGATAGCCGCGAGAAGAAATAGTATAATGTTATGTAACAGACCCTTTTGGAGTGATGTTGCTGGTTTAATTCCGCCCGAGAATTACCCCTCGGCAAATTGGCATGGCGTACCCCGCGGGGAGCGCTGGGGGCGAGCCGCTCGTGTTGAATAAAACCGTGTGCGCACGCATCACGTACGACAAAAGGTGTAATAAATGTTTAATTAACAGCCCAGACACGGGCTAGGTAGATAGCATGCGGGAGTCGCAGATTACATTGCCCATTCGTTGTGACTTCCGGTTGAGGTTCTCGCCTCTCATAGGTACACAGAGCGGAGACGGAAGAAAATCAGGCTAGCGAGTGCGGCGCGACCTTAATAGGGCTGTCTATTCAGCTTCTCTTCTCCAACACTAGGAGGAATCTCTCCGACGAACGCCGAAGGTTCTGTTTCAGAGAAAACTTCGGGGTCAATACAATTTTTCAGGTCCATAGTAGTAATGTCGTCTGAAGGCCGTTCCGAGCTGTTATCGCAATCGGTATATACCGCCTCGTAGCACTGTAGTGCAGCGCAAACACCAGAAGCGTCTCGACAGCTACGAGAGGCGAGCAAGCACAAGACATCAGCGGAGAGACACACAAACTCCGTAGAGCGCGACGAGGCTTCTTCCTGCCGCCGCATTTGGGAAGTTGCAGCGCGGCGGCCGAGGGGGTAATTATTCAGTCAGCATAGCGAGGTATTCGTCTTGCTGGTGCATTGGCGGAAAGACAAGCCAACTCTTGTCCCTTCTCCGTATGAAGACATAGAACTAGATCGTGACTTACCTGGGGACGGCCTGTCGGCCCGTTACCCGAGGGTCGCAGTTATCTGATAACAAAGGTAGCAGTAAGGCGGTTGAGCAGGTGTACAGACTAGACACCGAGATAGCGATTATACAGGTTGATCAGCGTCGTGCCGACTCGTCCAGTCGTTAGGCTCTCACCATGCCGCAGCTGCCCATGGCGAGCAGTAGACTGTTCAACCGAGCGAAGAGGTTCTCTGAAGCTATTTGCAAGTTGTCTACCTTTGTGGTATAAAAAAAAAAAAGTGAAAAAAGAATGGCAGAAGGAGGGCGGAGGGCTAATGTGGCGAGCAATAGGAAGTTGGTGCCTGACGGGGGAGGGGGGAAAAAAAAGGGGGGGACTTTGTGTCCGAAATACCAGACGGCCCGTGCCCCAGGGACAGGGAAGGAAGGCCTAATCTCGGACGCGAGTCTTGGCAATTCGATCAGAAACCACTGAAAGAATCGCGGCAAGAGCGGATACACATTCCAGCAATCGGCGAGGATCGAGCTCACTCTGAGACGCTATTGCACGCTCCCTGCGCAGTAGCCGTCGGATACATGGCAGCGTCGAGTTACCCATCAGCTAGAAAGCCATATATTGGAGTATAATAAGAACGCGCGTACAACAGCACAACCCGGCTTCAGAACCTGGTTGCGCGCATCGCCGTCCAAATGGAGGTTATACCCATTGCTTGAGGGATATTCACTAATCGTTGCTAGACCATCCTTAGTTTATTTACCCTAAACAGTGTGGATTTCTCACCTTTTCTCACCCTCTTGGGTGGTAGCTGATTTATTGTGCTAAAATAACATAGCAACGACCTAGCAACGGGTAATAACCTCCATTCGACGGCATGCGCTGCAACCAGACTGACCGAGGCTTGTACGCGCTTCTTTTTATCCGAATCTAGCCAGCTAGAGAACTCTCCTCCATTCGACGGCATTGCGCTGCAACCTTCGGTGAACTGACCGAGGCTGTACCTCTTCCCACTCTTCATGGTTCAAGGTGCAACTTGCAAATACGCTTAGGATTGCTCGTGCATATACTGCTGCATGCCAGCTGCCTGGTGGACCACGGACTGACGAGCAGCCGTAAGGTAAGTACCGTTCTTCTCACCTGCTCACCGCTCTGCTATTGTACAATACGCATGTACACGGCGACAGGTATACATCTGTCTTGCTTCACGAAAGGAAAGTTGCTGATTTATTCCGCCACCAGCAACATACTCCTCTAGGCATGCTATTAACCTCGGCGCGCATGCGCAGCGAGGGTTACGGTAGTTGTGTTTGTCTGTCTGTCGTGTCGTCTCGTCTGTCGACGCTTATTCTGGCACTACAGGCTGACGATGGCGGACCCATTAGCGATAACAGCGGACTTCAGAACTACGAGCTGAAAATGTATTAGACGATTTTCCTGAAACGACTCGTTCGAGAGATATGCCGTGACAAACAAGCAAAAAAGCCAAATCGCACTGGCTACCTGATCCGCTCGCTGCTTAGTGTACCTTGGGCTCAGGAAGTCACAACGAATCGGCATGTATCGACTCCGCACTGCTATCTACCTAGCCCGTGGCCTGGCTACTAGCGCGAAGACACGAATAAACGACGCCGGCCCGCCCAGCGCCCATCAATTTGCAGTATCGCGCATGCGCAGTTCGCGAGGGTTTGCACTTTTATTAAAAAGTTATGTCAATTTTTGAGGCTCAGGTGAAGTCAAATAGACTTTAGGTTACCTACTTTAACCCTATCCACGCCACTATACATAACACCAAGTATTAAACATGATTATGTACTGGCAGCAACAGTGACATAATTATACAAACAGCTGAAACCTAAACCACCAACACTTGGCAGTAAAGGTTTTAGTGAAAACACTTTCATGGTTTGAAGTTCAACTGCAAAAGTTGTCATGTCTGTTCTGTTTTGTTTTGTAGACCATTAATACAGCAGAAAAAGCAGGTGTTTTCTAAAAAAATGTTTACTCTGAGACTGAATTGCAAAGTGCGTAGTTTGCCCTAAAAATTTCCTATCCCACAGGATTAAGACTCCACAGAGAGTGGGATAGTCAGTTAGTGACTCACTTGGACTTGTTGTATTCAAACTCAATGTGCAGACAGTCCTCGATGCCCACCTCCATCTTGAGAGAGTTGACCATCTCTGGGAAGGAGGAGAGGGCGTGGACGGCCAGGTCCAGCTCCTTCGTCAGGTCCGAGAGTCTCCTCACCACCACCACCCGCAGGAAATACCTAGTGGGACATTACATCGTCATTACATCACTTACATACTCTCTCAGGAGGTTGTGGTTAAAGATTGGTGATGAATCTAATTGACAATGTGAGGCGTGAGGGAGAGGGGTGGGGGGCACTAGGATTACTGCGTACAGCCTTTCAGCTCCCCTCCCTCCTCTCTCTCCACTCCCTCCTCTCTCCCCACTCCCTCCTCTCACCTCCCCTTCTCTCCCCCCTCCCTCCCTCTCCCCCCTCCCTCACCCCTCCTTCCCTCCCTCCCTCCCTCACCCCCTCCCTCCCCTCCAGACAAGATCTCACCTCAACTTGACATTGGTCCCGGTGTACGACTCGTAGGGTTTCTCGACGTGATGAAACTCGAAATCAAACACAGCGGACTGAGTCAGTTCCCCCGGAGGAGAGAGCTGCCTCACCAGAGACAGGAAGTCGTGGTGGTTTCCTCGGTCGAAGTAGAGCTCTATCTGGCAGCTGCTATCTCAACATGCCACTGCAGTGTACTGGAGTAAATCTTTACTTGATGGGCAATGCATGCTTGCCCTAGAGACACACTATACCTACTCATGCGTGTTCTACTGGAACACATTGCTAACATGCATGTACACAAAACTAAGACAGTGTAAGCAGGCAGACAACATGGTGTTTAGTCAGACTTTGTCACCAGTACAAGGTGAGATTGGGAGCGAAATCAGGGGAAAAGAAGAAATTCTTCAACGAGCTCGAGATAGGGGGAAAAGACGAAGCACAGAGCAAGACAAGAGGGAAAATACGAAATTTTGGAGCAAGATGTAGGGGGACACAACGAAGGTACAGAGCGAGATGGGTGAAAAATAGGAAATGTTGGAGTGACATAGGGGAATAATGGAGTGATATTTATAGAGAGTAGACGAAAGTACTAGTTTTGTGTAGAAAAGGCCAAAGTAACCTCAAAGTATAGATAGCCAAAACCTCCACACCAGTCAATGTTACATGAACCAATCACTCATTCACAAACAGTACATTTACACACCCACACACATCACATTCACACAGCAAGACCAACTAAAAAAAGTAGTATATACCTATTGCTATAGAGTGCAGGTAGTGTATATAAGTGTAAATAGTGTGCCTATCGTTCATTTGTAGAGACTATTTCTTGACTGACTTTCTGGCTGCTTTTGGGTCAGCTTTTCTCCACAGGACTATCTCCTGGGGAGAGAGAGGGGGGAGGGAGGGAGAGGGAGGGAGGGAGAGGGAGGGAGAGGAGGGGGAGGGAGGAGAGGGAGGGAGAGGGAGGGAGGAGAGGAAGAGGATGGACGTACTGAACCATAAGCTATAAACGTAGGAGACAAATAAGTGGGGAAATGAGAACAAACCCTTTTGTATTGCTAGTTAATTGCATCAACGTAGGCACTGCTCAATTCAAACAAACTGCCTCTGGGATGTGGACACCTGCAAGGACACCCCTGGGATGTGGACACCTCTCAAGGACACCCCTGGGATGTGGACACCTCTCAAGGACACCCCTGGGATGTGGACACCTCTCAAGGACACCCCTGGGATGTGGACACCTCTCAAGGACACCCCTGGGATGTGGACACCTCTCAAGGACACCCCTGGGATGTGGACACCTCTCAAGGACACCCCTGGGATGTGGACACCTCTCAAGGACACCCCTGGGATCTCAAGGACACCCATGGGATGTGGGGACACCTCTCAAGGACACCCCTCTCTTTCCCCCACAGCAGTTCTCGAATGGAACTCAACCCCTGAAATGAGGACACCTTGCTAAATGGACACCTCTTTTGTGCCATTTTGTGTCGGTTCCACTGTACATGATGCAACAACTGTATAATTATGATAAGTGAAGGAGCAAAGAGACAGAGGAAACCCCCGAAAGAAGAGAGAAAGAAGAGAGAAAGAAGAGGTCACCTGTTGCTTGAAATACCTCCTCTCCTCCTCGTCCACCAGAACCAGGTTGACATAGTAACGAACAGAGAATTTCTTGTTGACGTCCCGCATGGTGGGCGTGAGGTCGTACCCACTCAGGAACAGACGAATGGGAATTGACTCTCCTGCAGAATGGAATGGGGACACACACTAGCTAACCACCTGGGGTGGGATCGGCCAACCAACACTGCAGACAAAGAAGTGTGCACATAGGATGTATATCTATATGTAGAGACAGTGGGAGGTTGTCAGTTGGTGAAAACAGCTAGCAATACAGTAGTACTTGATGGAATCTCTGAAACACCAGCTATGCTCAGTGCTAGTAGTGGACATCAAGTTAGTTTTACAGAAGTTGGTTCTTTCTCTTTCTCTCCATACATTATCAACCCACTGTGTAAAGGTCCTGTTCACAAAGTTACGGTAGGCACTGCGGTGCGTAATGTACTATCGAATCTTGGCAACGTATAATTACGCAGAACCCCACCATTCCGTTGGCGTTAGCAGACACATCCGCAGGCGATAGGCAAAGTTTGTATTCCAGTGTATGAGAGTATACTGTGCCATAGCACAGTGGTTTGAGGTTTGTCTTTGTGTTGTTTGAACCCCTACCAGCTGAGTTGCCCTGGTAGCTAGCTCAGTTGGTAGAACGCTCGCCTAGACTGCAGAGTGTTATAGGTTCGAATCCACCCCAGGGCAGCTCTCCTTTTTTCCTCGAAAAGAAAGAGCTGTGCTGTCCTGGGTGTAGTATGAGTTTGTTTAGTGAATGATGTAGTGTGAAGACTGGCAAAGGGATTTGGTAGAGGACTAAGAATGCAGCATTGTAAAACTGGTTATAAAACATGGAGGTTTTAGACTGCACATATAGTTGTATAGTTGAGCAAACATTGAAGGCACTCAATGCAGTCACAACTCAAAACCGAGGAGCTGTCAGAGAGGGCAAAATACTTGTCTCATGTGCTTAGGAAATGAGTCATCAGCACACTCATGCTTCGTGACATACATGGCTTGTGTTGAGTAAAAATTCCACGAGCAAGCAATGTCAGTTTGAAGTATGGAGCCATTATCCATTGTACTACTGCATCACATACACTAGGTCATCCCTGTCTTGTCTCCTTGCTTTTTATACCATCGCTATATTCACCACTTTTAATTCGAATAATTTTTTTGTTTACTTGTTAAATCTAAACTGAATTGCACATGCTTTCCATTGACACATCAGATATAGATACATCAAGTAACCTAATACTTGCTTACGCTGGGTCCTCAACAATGAAACATGGCACACTTCTGTGTTACAGGCAAACACCGCATGACTTTAGCTAATCAGCGCATGACTTTAGTGCTATACGCTGCAGATTTTGCATCCGTTGTCGATTATTAGCTAAATTCGCGTTACTTTAACATTCGTCTTCTAGTCGACGACCAAAGCTAAATGCATGGGTTTTTAGCTGTAGTAATGCCCTTTTAGCAAAATGCAACGATGGATGCTAAAGTCATGCACTATTTAGCTAAAGTCAGCACTATTTAGCTAAAGTCATGCAGAGTTTAGCTAAAGTTATGCAGAGTTTAGCTAAAGTCATGCGGTGTTTGCCTAAAGTCATGCGGTGTTTGCCTAAAGTCATGCGGTGTTTGCCTAAAGTCGTGCGACGATTGCTATAATCACACGAGGTTTAGCTAAACTCTCGCGATATTTACGTAAATTCACGCGACGTTTAGGCTTGGTCCAAAAAAAGTAGTTCTGAGACAAAGACAAACTGCACTTCATACCTTCAGTCATACAATCAGACCACTTGTTTCAGTATTCATGATCTCACTAGAATCTCCAAATAAGGTGAGGCATGAACCAGTCTATATACAAATCAGACTGTGAATATTGGTAGAGTGACAAAAAAGTCAAGGGCTGTTTCCTGTCAGCCTCAGTCTCACCCATTTCTTGGAGTTAGCCCACCGCCTTTGCTTGCTTCTTTCTTGAGCAGCTTGCTTGCCTCAGTCTTCACTAGACCCTCTCTCTAGCTTGTCTGCTGACAGAGCCATGGCTGCCAAACCCTCCACTGCTGCCGAGAAAGCTCTCCAGAAGATCCAGGACCAGGTCACCTGTGGGATATGCCTGGAGCCCTACAAACAGCCAAGGCTGCTCAAGTGCTTCCACGTGTATTGCGAGCAGTGCCTGCAACGTCTGGTACGTGGGGGACGAGAGGGACAGAGTCTCCCATGTCCACAATGTCGCCAGGACACTCCACTGCCAGTGGGCGGAGTCCCGGGGCTCCAAGGAGCCTTCTACATCCACTACCTCTTCGACATCCAAGACGCCCTCAAGAAAGTTAGCTCCAGCGACCAAACCATGTGCAACAAGTGCAAGAAGTTCGAAGCGGTTTGTTTTTGTCGTACTTGCGGGTTTGCATGCCAGCGCTGCAAGGAAATCCATCAGGATTGGGATGAATTGAAAAACCCACGAATTTATCGACCTAGACACCTTGACTGGAGATGTCACCACCCTCGTTCCTCCTCTCAAGAAGACTCTCTTTTGTGCCACTCATCCGTCAAAGGAGGCAGACCTCTACTGCGAGACGTGCGACGAGTTGATATGTCGAGACTGCATCGTTCGTGTTCATCGCGACCACCAGTACGATCTGGTGCCAGAGTCGTTTGCTAAGCAAGAGAAAGTGATCGTTGACTCTCTCAAGCCAGTGGAAGAACAGATTGCTACTTAGAAAGAGCCATTGAGTCGGTGGACACTCAAAGTGCTGCAGTCGTAGAACAGAAGACGGCTGTGGTGGCAGAGATCCGGACTGCCATGGCACACCTGCGACAAGCTCTAGAGGCGAGGGAGACAGAGCTGGTGGGTCAAGCTGAGCAGACGCCACAGCAGAAACTTAAGACCTTGGCAGCACAGCGAGACGGGTTTGAACTGCAACTGGGCCAGCTGAGGAGCTGCCAGGACTTTATGGAGGAGAGCCGGCGTACTTGCAGCCAGGGGGAGATTCTGAGGATGAAGAGTCCTCTCGTGAAACAAGTCAACGACCTGACAGGCAGCTTCAAGCCAGAGACATTGGCTCTTGCCGAGCAAGCCGACATGGTGTTTGCTCACAGTCTGCCTGAGCTTGTGACATCTTGCCAGCAGTTTGGTAAGGTTTACTGCAGTCAGGTGTGCCCTGAGAAGTGTCGAGCCTCAGGTGAAGGAATCAAGGTAGCCACGAGAGAGCAAACAGTGGCTGTCTCTGTAGAGGCTTTAGATAGGGAGGGAGAAGCCTATCTCAGACCTGTAGACAGCTTGAGGTGTGAGCTAGTTGCTAGCGATGGCAGCAGTCGAGTCAGGGGCACTGTGAAGAGAAGAAATCAGAACATCTACGACATCAGCTACCAGTCTCAGGTCGCTGGGGAACATCAACTACACATTCTAATAGAAGAGCACCCGATCTTGAACAGTCCGTTCACTGTCACCGTTCTACCCAACTTCACTGCTCCAACCAACATCATTGGAGACCTCAATACACCATATGGTATAGCAGTTAGGGAGGGAGGTGAGGTTGTAGTAGCAGAACGGAGTAGTCACTGCATATCAATCATCAATGGAAATGGAGAGAAGAAATCATTTGGTACTTGTGGCTCGGATCCTGGTCAGTTTGACCTTCCTAGAGGTGTAGCAATAGACAATGGAGGAAACATTCTTGTGGCTGACTGTGAAAACCATCGTATTCAGCAGTGGTCGTCCACTGGCAAACACCTCAGAACAGTCGGTACCCGGGGCAGTGGACCTCTTCAGTTCCAGTATCCAGTAGGCATTACAGTTCATCCTCACACTGGCAAGGTGTATGTTGCTGACTGGATCAACCACAGCATTCAGGTTCTGAACTTTGACCTCTCATACTTCAGTAGTTTTGGTGGGAAGGGCGCTAACAATGGAGAGTTTGACTATCCTTATGATGTAGCTACAGACAGAGATGGCAATGTGTATGTAGCTGATCAGTACAACCACAGAATCCAGGTCTTCACAGTCGATGGAGTCTACTTGAGGCAGTTTGGGAAGAAGGGAGAAGGAGAGGGAGAACTAACCAATTCAGTCAGTATTGCTATTGACTCTGGCAATGTAGTGTATGTTAGTGAACTGGGGAACAATCGTATATCAATATTCTCTACTGATGGAAAGTTTATCAAGTCATTTGGAAGTGCGGGAAAAGGTCCTGCGGAGTTCAGTGGTCCATTTGGACTAGTAGTAGACAAGAAAGGAACACTGTA